CACATCCTGTCTCTTGCTTTTGCGATCATTTTGCAATTTCCAAACTTTTATCAGCCAAAAAGAGAACAAACTGTAGTTTGCACATGCTGGTGTGATATGCTGAGCTGATGGGGTGATACCCTGGGCCAGATTAGGGATCTCTCTGGTCCTTCTTCCATCTGTGGTCCCAACCACAAACAAAAATATAACAAAAAAGTAAAAAGGAAGTTTGCTATAGGCAGCTTTAGGCAAATCTGCCCACAAGAAGTTCCCTTCTTCTCCCTAAAAGTCAAGGTCTGGTTTGCACCCTGAAGTAATTCCTGTGCCTTACACAACTCCTAATTGTTTTCAATCAGTCACTGTAAATGTCCTCATAAACTGGATAAATGCACCTTTTGCAGGGTTTTCTTCTTCCTAGTAGACTTTTTGTGGCAATTAATTTGAGATCCAGATACCTTCAAAGATGTTTTAAACAACAACATATTACATCCTCACCTCAAAGCTCCTGAAATTTCTACCTGTTAAGTCCAGACTCCAAAAATGCAAACAGGTGCCCACAGGAGAGATTTCCATAATGAGGTAAACATGTGGCTCAGCTCCTGACACAGACCTGGGAACATGCCCACCTTCCAGCTGTCCCTGGAAACTGGCTTCTGGCTGCAGGGAATTCCTTCAGCGAAGAGAGGGATGAAGGAAGTGGGAACAGAGACACCCCCTGCAGCTTCTGCTACTCCCAGAAGTTGTGCTTTTGGGGAGAAGGGTCAGGGAGCCTTAATTAGTGGTTTTAAATCAGGGGAAGAGGTGGAACAAGTCTTAAGAGTATGTGGGAGGACAGGGGAAAGAGAAGCAGGGAACCAGAGATCCTTAGGTCAGTGTTAGCAGCAAAGAATTGCTCAATAAGCCAGGAATGAAATCATGGCCTGAGCAATGACTTTGTGCCACCAACAGAATCCTGTGGGGAGCAGCCATGGCAGGGGCAGGCTCAGCCCTGGGTTTTCACACTTAGGAGCACAGGCAGGCAGCCCAACTAAGGAGCTGAGGGGAAATGATTTATGAGGACACAGCTAAATGGTTAAACAACAAGTAAGGGCAGACATAAGAGTCTACAAATACCCACAGGAGTAAATGTCAAGGAGTGTGAGGAATTGTTTGGAATGGCAAGATAAATTTCCCAAGACTGAGGTGCTGCAGCCTGTGATACACTTGCCCAAACAGCTGAAGTTTTGTTGGCGTGACTGTTCGGGTAAAGGAAGAGCAAATCAAAGGCAAGGAACAAACCTGTGTTGTACAACAGGTGAAAGGAACCATTCAACTCTGCTCCATATCCAGGTGAGCTCCATATTCCCATTGCCAAAGGAGCTACTGGCAATGTTCAGCAAGGCACAGGAGATGCAGACAGCATCCTGGAGCTCTCCTATAGCTGTTTTTCCCCTCTTTGTGGTAGCAGCAATTACAAATCTGATTTAATCAAGGCAGTTTCAGGTTGATTGTATGAATGAAGAAGTCACACAGCTGCTATCACAGAGGAAGAACCACAAATCATCACTCATAGCTAGAAACTGTCCACAACAATTATCACTACAATTAACATCCAATTTATCCTGGATAAAGGATGAGTGTTAAAATTGCACCTTATCTCATGCCACTTCAGCCCCTGAAATAGCTCTTAACTGGAGTTGAAGTTTGTTCTGTGCTGAGCACCTGCATGAGGGGTGAGATCCAAGGTCATGTTTCAGGAAGGGAAAGATTCCAGCAGGAGGCCTGGGGGATGTGCCTGATGCTCCACACGAGGGAAGAAAGCTGCTGGGGCTGCACTGAGCAGGAATGCAAGGGAAAGGGAAGGAATGTAAAGCAAAAAACAAAAAGGACCTTTTAGTTTTGGTTCACAGCATGGCATTGCAACTGTGGCAGGGCCGGGAACAAGAGGCTACAACCAGCAAGGTGCATCTGAATCCTTCAGACTGCAAAATTACTGCCTGGTTAAAGGAAATAAATACATGTAAAGGGGAGAAAAGAGCTCATGGACAGCCCTGAATTGTGGTAGGGGGGAGAGGAAAGGGATAAAACAAAGCCACAGGAAACAAATGTAACCCTAAGATAGCCTCTATCTCCCTCTTTTCTGACAGATGTCCCATTCTCAGTCCCTGGGGATTGCTTTGTGCACTCAGGAGGATAAAGCAGTTTCCTTACTCCTTCCTGCCCTGATGGAGACACTGGATCACTAATTTGGAATATTGCTTAACTCAGGGCAGGAACCTACTTCTCACTTAGCCCTGATTCCTGAAAAACAATCTCAGTGCTGGTGCCCAGCAAAGAGGAGCCACAGGACTCCCCTGGTGAGGAGGGGACTGACAGAAACCCAGGAAAGCTGGGGAATTCATTTTGGCTGAGCATCAGTAGATGGGTCAGTTGATGGCTACGAGGTTTCAACACATGCACAGAATGAAATTCATTGCTGAAGTGTCCTAAAGAGAAAAGATGGACTTCAGAACTGTCCAACAACAAACTGCAACTTCTCTCCCATGTTAAGGCTTAGAAGGAGCTGACCATCTTAGAGAAAATGCAACTCAATGTCATAATAACATTTCAAAGCATTTTGGAGATTTAGGTACACAAAAATCCCCAGAGGAGCTGAGGAACCCTTTTTGTCAAAGGTTTACAGGCAAAAAATTACGAAGGAAGAAAGACCTTGTAATTAAATCCTTGACTTGAGATTCAGGTTCTTCTTCTCGCCTTAGTACCTAAAACACTCACAATATATTTGTAAACACTACATTGCTTAAAGGGATGCAATCCACGTACAATTTTCCTGCTGCCAGGAGCCTACAGTGGGAAGAGCTGCCTGACTGTGCAGTGGTGTCATTCCTGTGGTAAACATTTCTAAGAAAATTCAGGTAATGGCATGGTACCCAAAATTGTGCCAGGGAGAGATTTTGAGTCTATTGTGTTTGTTTCTGTGCTGAGGAAGGAAAGTGTTTTTCCCCCTTCCAAACTTGTTTGGGGATTTTTCTCCTCGAGATTTTTTAGAAAACTTCTGAGCAGGAAGCTAAAACAACTACCTGAACAGAGCCATACAGACTGTAAACTTTGACTCTCCCAAAGAAGCTTTTTTTGAGGTACAACGTCTTCCAGTGAGCGAGATGCCTTCTGCCCTTTCCTTTTGTGGTGTGTCACAACACATCCCACTAAAAACCGAGCAGGGACACACACAAAAAAAGAAAACAATCCTTACCGTGAATCTTTACCTTTGTCTGGAATCCTTTTCTGGATGTTTATGGCAACCCATAAAGTTGCTGGAACATGCCTGCTGTATTTTTAATTGTCATTTGAAATGCCAAAACCCAGAAGTCTTGCTTATATTGTATGTGAACACAGTGTCTGCTTATGTTCAAACCCTCAGGCTCTTTAAATAACTCCCCTGTACACAGAGAACGTTGTTCATTTTGTTTTTACAATTTCTGCCTGTGCAGAAGGAGCTCCAATGTCCTGAGAACATAAATGTATGTTCATAACCAAGGAGCAGGATCACAGCTGGAATCTACCTGAGCCTTGGATCACGTTTCAGGAGCGAAAAGGCAGCTTTTTTCTCTGTTTAATTTACAGGAGCCACAAGCAGAGCAGCACATACTCCACTGACTGACGTAAGGCACAGGTGAGTGCATGTTACAGGTCCACCTCTGTGCCTGATCCACAGGGAATATCAGCCTGTTCCAGTCAGACTTTAGAGCTGCAGCCCAAGAGGAACCTGGTCTGAACCCTGGTGTGTTAGCGAAGGTGGCAGCTGCCATAACAGGCTTCTGTGCAGGCTACAAATTTGGGGCATAAAATGGGGGTCTTTTTATTGATTCCAGTGAGTTTTGTACCAAGCCTCCATTGTTCTGTCCCAGAGAATAAACCATCAGAGAATTTATAAGCTAATTTACTTTTTTTCCTTCCAAGGATTAAACAGGAGCAGACTGTAATTTCCTTTAAATGCATCTATTATTCATAAGTATTCAATAAGTTTTATTATGGGCTTAAAAACAACAGCATATATACCTTTATACTCAATTCCAATCTCCTACATGAGTTGGGAAACTCACATTTTATGATTAGTTGTGATTGATCATGAAAGTCACAGGGTATACATGTGTTCCGTGAGCAAAGACACGGACAGGTATCTGGCCAATGCTCATTTTTCACATCAGTTTGCTGTAAATAATCTGCCATGCAATTTTGCTACTTCCTTTCTGCAGGAATCTCTGGGAGTAGGTTAGCAAACTGTGGCTTGCAGAAAGCTGACAGAGTATTTACGAACAGAGAGGAAGTAAATTAACTTCAGTGTTTGATTCAACATTGCAGAAAGACTTTTTTCAGTGTTTAACCACCCACAGCAATCAGAGGAGGTTCAGTCCCTCCTCCAGCCCGGCCTTACTACCAGGAAAGGAGAATTGTGCTGAGTTAGGACTTCAGACAAGGGGTCAAAGGAGGAGACACTTCATTTCTCAGTGTCCATCCCATAATGCCAGTCCTGTAACAGCTGTCACATGTGCAGCAGAGGGATAGGTGGAGAAATTAAACCATTCATGTAAGACAACACCCTTTTTAAGCAACCACCACTTTTTGCAATGACCTGTACAAGGGTCATTTGGGGTTTTCCTTCCCTTGGAGTCTGGGTTTCCTGAGAGGAAGGAGAGCTGAAATACAGGAACCAGTGGCTGCACAGCATTTCCAGCAGCACAGGAGACCTTCCTCATTGACAGAGGTTTAGGAACCACATCTGAATCTCCAAACTTCCTGATGTTCTCCCTTTGAAAGGAGGGAAGACGGGGGAGGAGGTGGGTGGGGAAGGTGAAGAGTTGGTTCTGTCCTTTTAAAGGCCTTGCAAACACAGCAAAACTGCTCCCAAACCTTAAATCCACCAGAAAAATAGGTGGTGATACACATGGGAAATACAAGGAAATGTTTCAACTAATAAAACACGCTGGACTAGCACCAAACTTGTGCATAAAAGCTGTTTGTAATAAACAACAATTACTTACAGTATCACTGCAGGATCATGAGAGGACTCAGACATCGAGGAGTATCTGGTTGGTCTGGTTGGGACCTGGAAAACACAGTGTCACATATCAGCACCACCAGCAGCAATCCAGGTATTTTTTGAGGGCTGTTAGAACAGGAAGAAATTTTCTCTGTGACCTAATCCTGGCCAGAGAGAAGAAAATCTGTCCTTTGCTAGATCTGATAAAGGAATAAAACTTCAACTCCCTAGAAAAGAACATCAGTTTGCCTGGGTTGTGTTGCAGATCACTTTTACAGCTCTAAAGGGGTTAATGGGACCCCAGAGATAATAAATACATTATGCAGCTGTGTAGGTGCTCAGGAGATGAATATAGGTTGATTTTTTACAAACTTAACCTATGCAGAGTGAGTCATAATTTGCACCTTGCGTCATCCAATAAATGGGACTTTTGAAAGTCAACCCACTGTGAATGGGCTGCGAGCTCTCCAAAAGCAAGAATCCTGCTCTCCTGCCCACAGGCTGCCAAGCTGGAGGACGAAAAAAGCTCTTCTCCCCAGGTTACAATGTGATGGCAATAATAGGAACCAAACAAACAACTACATGTTTGTGGGTTTGCCATGTCGCTCTTAAAAGGTCAAAAGTGTTCGACCGAAATGACTGTTTTTATTTCATGAAAGATGAATCCTTAATCACAAATGTGTGGTAATCTCATTGCTGCCTCTGCTGTGCCTTGTAATGCTGCTTCTTTATTCAATTATGCCTCACATCAACTTTTTAATGAATACCTATGTTCGGAAAACCTTGAGAGTTTTGATAAATAACATCTGCTTCTGTGCATTTCAACCCTACAGTTCTGCATGAAGGAAATGTTTCTATTTTGTAGCCAGCCAGGAGAAAGAAAAGCAAGTGGAGAGGAGGTCTACATGTTCACAGGGACCTCAGCACGGAGCAGACAGAATAATCATCTTTTGTTGAATACGAACATAACGAAAAACAAAGCAAACAATGCCCTTTTGTTCTGAGCAAGAAAGGCAGGGCTTTAATAGTCTTTTAACGAGATAGAAAATTTCCATCCCAATGGAACCATGGAGTAGGTAGACACATTACAATGTTTTGGAGTTCAGTGATTAAATTTAATACTGTGCCAGGCAGTGATTAGTGGATGAAGGGCGTTCATAACTAGAGGAGCAACAAGGGGAGTGTGGCTCCAGTTTAGCACTGGGCCTCCCTAGCACTTTGGGACTCAGCTTTCTGCTTTAATAACAGCAGCAAACAAAAAAACTTTAATTTGATTTATTTCCCTAAAGAAACTGCAGTTGTAAGCACAGGCTGCCTGGTACCTGTTCCTAAAACTTCAGCATTCAGGGCCAGATCCAAGAAAGGGACCTGTGCTGAGGTACCAACCAAAGCACAGAAACACATCCTTTGGCATTTTTCCATCTCACCAAATCATTCCTTGCACTCAGTACCCGGTACATGTGAATCCCATCACTAGACACTGAATTCTCCCAACTGCCCGTGCAGGAGACTCCTAATCAAAGCTTCTGAATCCCAGCCTCAGAGCTGGGTGCTGATGTCCTGTATGGATCTTTGCCTCAGTGCACTGAAAGCCTCTGTTGAGCCCCACGCAACCCATTGCCCTTAGCCCTGCACAGCCACGATGACATCCAGGGAAACAGGAGCACAAATGGCTTTGAGCTTGTCCATGGTCTCTCCTAAGCCCGTCCAACCATGGCCATGAGCACACGGTGCCCAGAGAAGTCAGCAGTGACACCCCAGCCCTGTGCGCACAGACAGGTCAGCTCTGACTTCAGCAACGAGTCACTGACTTTGCAGACGATCAGCAAACTCCCCTCCTGGTTTTATCAAATGAAAATTACCCCTTAAATTCTGAGAAGTGATCTTTGAAGGAAATAAAATTTTCATTTCAGTTTCTGCTAAAGGAACTTCCCCAACCCATCCCAGCATCTCAGGTCTCGGTACCTGAAATCTTGTATAAGACTCAGGTAAGTCTCATAAAATATAAGTAAAATTAAACTATGTGCAGTAAATTTTTAAAAATTAAATAATTAATTCTTCTTTACTTCCTTTTCTGTCAATACCTGTTCCTACAGTCCAAGCAAAGGCCATCATCAGTCTAATCTGAAGCCAGTCCTCTTACATTAACATCTATTTTGGACCAGACCTGCTCTTAGCTGCATGAGTACAAATCTGTTGTCTTTTCATGGACTTTCTCCAATTATATTCTGGTCTAAGCAAGATCAGAATCTTATTTTGGTTATAAATTACAGGGTTTTGCTAAATGTCAACATCGGTGCAGGCCACAGATTTTGGCGAAATCACATCTATTCAAGGGGAAAAGAATTCACAGTTCCAACTTTCCATAACAGTAACACGATTTAAAAAAAATAAAATAAAATAAAATAAAAAGAAAACTTGTAGATAATGTTTCAAGCCTCTTGCTTGAAATTTTAAACCCATCCCTCAGTTATCAATAATTAATCACCAAGCATGTTAAGTGTTCAAAAAATGTGGTATGGCACTTGAGGACACAGTTTAGATGTGAACATGGTGGTGGTGCTGAGCTGATGGTTGAATTTCTTGATCTCAGAGGCCTTTTCCAACCTTAACAATTCCATGATTCCATGTTATATGTGCTAAGTTAGGTGCAGATTCACTACAAGAAAATAAAACAAAAAAGTCTGGAAAAACTGTCTTGCAGTCTATTTAACACTCCAGATGAATGGATGTGTAAAGCTCCTTTCAGAATCCTCCATCACAGGCAGCTTCTCTGACTGCCAGAGGGGTTGGGAGCTTTTCCCATCAATGGGAGAAGCGAGTGATCTGCACCTGAAGAAAAATTTCTGACTTATGCTTTGCTTTGATTTGTGCTCCAGGTGGTGGTAAGACATAAATCCTGGAGGCTCTCTCCAGGATGATGGAATGCCAAGAAGTGGAGAAGTTTACTGGAACAGCAGCAGTTTCTGATGCCTTTGCAATGCCAGTTTTAGCTAGAAAGGTACAATATTTTATATTCTGAGAAGCTGAGCTAGACCATTTTGGCAGAGAGTCTGTCTGCCTACCAAGGGTGGGGTAGGTATTTACTATCTCTGTAATGACTTCCTACTGCAAGTGGGTCAGGTAATTCAAGCAACTCGCCAAAACTGCCTTTGGTGGAGTCTGGTGAAGTCTGGCCTGTAAGTAAACACGTCCCTGGGCTGCAGAGGGCACATCCTCTGCCATGTGATGTCTCAGCCGTTTCCTGGCACTGCCCCTCCAACAAATCCTTCACTTTATCTCCCTCTGACTGTAGCTGAACCTGCTGTTGCTGCACTTTCTGGGGTCAATGCCCCGTTGTGAACTGGAAAAATACCTGCTGAACAAAACACTCAAGTTCTTAAATGATACCAGAGGCTCCTCCTTCCTCTGCCTCTGTTGTGGGCAACCCCCCCAGTTTGTCAGTTCTGCCTGTCCAACCCCAAACCAAATGTTTCAGCATCCAGCCTGCACAAATAATGGGGTTTTAAACAAAACCTGCAGCCTGTTGCATGTGATCAGTGCAATGCTTGGCTTCCCCTCACCCTGAGCCTCAATGCCTGATATTCAAACACGTGGATCGTGCCCGTTCTGGCATCTGGGGTGGGGTAAAAGGCATTGTGTATGTGTGTGGTGGGGTGGGAAATCCCAAACTGGGCAAGGTTGCAGAGGTGCTGCCTTGCATGGCGGTTAAGAAATAACTCATTTCTGGTTGCAATGTTAAAGGAAAGGTGTGAAGTAACTCAAATGGGAAGAAATAATCCCCAGCTTCTACACGGTTCCCTTGAGGCACTGTGGACAGAGCAGGATGATCCATCCACTGGAAAATTAGGGCAAGGAGTTGGACTTTGATGATCCTTGTGGGTCCCTTCCAATTCAAAATATTCTATGATACTATGAAATCTCATTTTGCACAAAGCAACCCCATTAAAAGGATCCTGCAAGCATCCAGAATACTCCTGTTTGCCAAAAACACGGTGCTATGGTTTTGTTCACACATAAACATTTTGGGCAATGCTGTTCATATTGTGCGAACTCACTACATTGTCTGGCTCTGGAAGGGAACAGGAAATTTGACAAGCTTTGCAGGAACAACTGCTGGTAAGAAAATCAAAGTTATTCCAGTAGACCAGAGTTGAGCCACAAAAAGAGAGGAGTGAGGAGATCCCACAGAGACAAGTCAGTGTGACCAAGAGGTGTCACCATGTTTTGGAACTCAGTTCTTTACTGAAAACCAAATCAGCAAAACAAAAAGATGCTCCAAGTCTCTAGCGGGTCTGGATTAGACTGATGGCTCCTGGAGGACAGTTTCATGGATCCTGGCAGTTTAGAGTAGATTTTTAACACAAAATTTCTGAAAATGAACGAGTTATTTCATGTGGTCATGAAAAGTTTTTGCATGCCTATCTTTTCAAACAAGCACACTCCTGTAAAGAACAAACGAACGTCAATATTATTCCTAAATGTATTTGAAAATTAATACTGTAACTGTGTGTCACTTCAAAGTGCTCTGTTTTGATCTTCACAAGGTTATCCCAGTTGCTTCGCCCCATAAAATTACCCACAAACACCATAGTGAGTGAGTCAGGACACGGAGCTGACTCCAAGGGCAGCAGAAATGCCTGTGGAGAGCGCGGCACGAGAGCAGGGAGCAAAGCTGAGGGTGCAGCAGCGTGTGGGAACAGGGACTGGCACAGAGAGAGAACACTTTCCTGTAAAAACTTCATTTCAAGCTCCTCCACCTCCCATCCAGGCAAGAGACTCTCTCAGAGTCTGGAACACCCGACCTGACGGGCTGACGTCTGCCCTGGGAAGACGTGAGCTCTGAGAGGGAGGGTGGCCCACAGGCCCCGGCACTTCTGCACGGGGGCTTTGAAAAGAGTTTCCAAGGGCCTTACACAAAAAATCCTTTCAAAAGTGCTCCATAAAATCCACCTGAAGAAAGCCCATTAGGAGGAGACTTGGGTTTGCTCCGTTCTGCCCTGTTTAGCTCAGGTGTTGTTTTTTCACACACAGAAACACATGTACAGACTTAGCCCACCCTACAA